CACCTGCGGCATTCATGGACTTGATGAATCGAGTTTGTGGACCGTATTTGGATCAATTTGTCATAGTCTTTATAGACGACATTTTGATCTATTCGAAAAATGAGAAGGAGCACGAACAACATTTAAGGTTGATTCTTGAATTACTAGCAAAGGAGCAATTGTACTCCAAGTTCTCAAAATGCGAGTTTTGGTTGCATGAGGTACAATTTCTCGGTCACGTAGTCAACACGGAAGGGATCAACGTGGATCCGGCTAAGATTGATGCAGTTATGAACTGGGAATCACCAAAGTCAGTATCAGAGATCCGAAGTTTTCTAGGCCTACCAGGGTATTACCGAAGGTTTATCCAAGATTTCTCCAAGATAGCAACGCCTTTGACGACACTGATGAAGAAGTCGGTTAGGTTTGATTGGGGGACGAAACAAGAGGAAGCATTTTAGACACTTAAGGAGAGACTAAGCACTACGCCGGTTTTAGCACTACTAGATGGAGTAGAAGATTTTGTCGTTTATAGCGATGCATCAAAAATGGGTTTAGGTTGTGTGCTAATGCAGCGAGGCAAGGTCATTGCATATGCGTCTTGTCAGTTGAAAGAACACGAGAGGAAATACCCAACTCACGACATGGAACTAGCAGCTATTGTCTTCGTGCTAAAAATCTAGAGACACTATTTGTACGGTACAAAGTGCATGATCTATACTGATCATAAAAGCCTTAAGTATTTGTTTGATCAAAAGGAGCTAAATATGAGACAAAGAAGATGGATGGAACTACTTAAGGATTATGATTGTGAGATTCATTATCATCCAGGTAAGGCAAATGTAGTTGCCGATGCACTTAGTAGGAAAGAGAGAAACAGACCAATCAGAGTCCGAGCCATGTGGATGAGTGTTAAGGTGGAGCTTCTAGACCGAATACGGGATGTCCAAAAGGATGCTCTACTCGAAACGAACATCAAAAAGGAGAGAATGATTGGACAAATTAAGACCTTGACAGCTGGACCAGATGGAATATATAGACATGGGAATCGGGTTTGGATTCCTAGTTTGGGAGATCTAAGAAATGTAGTGATGGACGAACCACATAAGTCTAAATATACTATGCATCCAGGTAGTAATAAGATGTACAAGAATATAAAGGAAAGCTATTGGTGGCCTGGTATGAAGAGGGCAGTAGCTGGCTATGTGGGGAAATGTTTGACGTGCTTGAAGGTGAAGACCGAGCATCAAAGACCGTCTGGAATGTTACAACAAATGGAGATCCCAGTATGGAAGTGGGATATGATCATGATGGATTTTGTCACCAAACTTCCAAGGACGGTAAAGGGGCACGACGCCATATGGGTAATTGTGGATCGGCTAACGAAATCGGCTCATTTCTTACCGATCAGTGACAAGTATACATTAGAAAGATTGGCCCAGCTTTATGTCAATGAGATCATGTCGAGACATGGTGTACCGATATCCATTGTCTCAGATAGGGATGCTAGGTTTACTTCGAGGTTTTGGTCAAGTTTTCAGCAAGAAATGGGAATGCGATTTTACTTGAGTACCGCATATCATCCTCAAACTGATGGCCAGAGTGAGAGGACGATACAAACACTAGAAGATATGTTAAGAGCTTGCATAATTGATTTTGGAGGTAGTTGGGACAACCACCTCCCATTGATAGAATTTTCTTATAACAACAGTTACCATTCGAGCATCAATGCGGCACCATTTGAACCGTTGTATGGCCGTAAATGTAGAACTCCAATTTGTTGGGCAGACATTGGAGAAAGACAACTAGCTGGACCCGAGTTAGTCCAACAGACATCTAATAAAATAGTATAGATCAGGGAGAGGTTAAAGGTTGCGCAAGATAGACAAGAGAGTTATGCGGATAGAAGACGTCGACCTTTGGAATTCCAAGTAGGTGATAAGGTTTTGTTGAAAATATCGCCATGGAAAGGGGTCGTGAGATTTGGGAAGAAAGGTAAGCTAAGTCCAAGGTATATCGGACCATTTGAGATAACTGCAAGAGTAGGAGCAGTTGCTAACCGGCTGAAGCTACCAAAGGAGTTAGGTGGTATTCACGATACCTTTCATGTGTCGAACTTGAGGAAATGCGTGGCTGACGAATCAGTTGTCGTGGATTTGGAAAACATCAAGGTTAATGATAAACTCGCTTATGTAGAAGAGCCAGTTGATATATTAGACAGGAAGACGAAAAGACTACGAAACAAAAGCATACCGCTGGTGTTAGTAAAGTGGAAGTTCCATAAGGGCACTGAAATGACGTGGGAGCCCGAAGAAGAAATGAAATCTAGGTATCCTAAATTGTTCTAGCGAGTATTAATTCCGATGATGGAATTTCCTGAAGGATGGAAGAGTTGTAAGACGCAGAATTTCGAGGAATAGATAATTTACCTTTATTATTATTTTTATTTTATTTATATGTATATTTATATATGTCAAATAAAAATAGAAATTAAAATAGGTTTAAAATCGGACCAAAAGGGAAGGAAAAGTCAAGGCATGGGTGAAAGTGTAATTTCGCGATAGGTAAAGGGTTGAGTCAGATGTAAGCAGGTCCAAACCAGAAGGACCTGTTTTCTAAATGTGCAACAGACCTGCACTGCAGAAGGGCCTGCTGTCAACGTTGGATGAGGCAGAAGAGGAACAGGCGGTGCCTGGTCCAAAAGGGGAAACTGTGACCTGCCGGTTGCRGGCTGTGGAGGAACAGTTTCACAGCCTAAAACTCGGGATTCGGCCGATTTGGTCAACTAATAGGCCAAATCGTTTGAGTATAAATTATGGGCACTGGTTTAGGGTCGCCATACTTTTAAAAGAAGAAGAAAATCGTCGAGCTTGAGAGAGAAAAACCAGAGTTCAAGACCAGGCAAGAACCCCCTGTTTTCTCGTCATTTAGAGGTAAATGCTCAACCAAAATTTATGTTGTTACAATGTTTAGATGTACCTTTGACCCTGTGTAGAAATCTATGAAGGCCCACGTCCAAACTTCGCATTTTAGAGTTCGAATTCAAAGTTTAGATTTCATTTGGTGAATACGCTGTATCGCGTTCTGTTTAGAAACCACTTTAAAGAAGGTTATATAGAAGCTCTGCATGAGAGCTCTGTATCAAGTTATATGGTACAGAAGCTCTACATGGGAGCTTTGTATCAAGYTATGGTAGCYAGAAGCTCTATATGAGAGCTCTGTATCAAGTTGTGTTAGACAGAAGCTCTGGAAGAAACCATAGAGGGGCTCTGGCCCTTAATGTTGAAATAATTTTAGTTAAGTCACAAAGGCTCTGGTCTTAGGTTCGAAAATATGTTCTAAGTCTAGTTAAGAACCAGAGGCTCTGGTCGCGAGACAAGAGGCTCTAGAATATAGAGACCAGATTTGGGCTGGCCCTTGAATTATTTTTCCAAGTATGATTTGGGACAAGAAGCTCTAGAAGAGAGAGCAGAGGGGCTCTGGTCCTATGTTGAAATAATTTCTAAGTGGCTAAGAACCAGAGGCTCTGGTGCTAAGAACCAGAGGCTCTGGAAGAGAAACCAGAGGGGCTCTGTCCTTGATGTGAAATATAATTGCTAAGTATGATTCAACCAGAGGCTCTGGTTGTGAGACCATAAGCTCTAGAGGATACACCACAGAGGCTCTGGCCTAAAGGACTTGAATCCAGAGGCTCTGTCAATGCAACCAGAGGCTTTGGCCGTCCACAGAGGCTCTGGTCTTCTTCCAGACTTAGTAATTTAAGGTATATAGCTAGATGATACCCCTTGTGTCTGAACTCGCGTTCCTATAATTTTGTTGATGTGAAGAACGTTCTTAAGCGTAGTTGACCAAGGTTGACCCTAGCCAACATAGTTGACCGTAAGTTGACCTTTATGTTAACCTTTRGGAGAAATTAATCATTTATATGCTATTTACTATTATAAATTGTAGGTTGCCAGACAGTGACGTTGGTTAAGCAATCTACGTTAACAGGTGAGTCTTCATGAGATTCACAATGGGATGCATACCTATGTATAAATTTATTTTCGAGCATTATATGATTTATATGATAACGGGTACATATACATGATGTTTCAGTTTACATACATGATATATTTTACATGTATGTCATTTTATGATCAGTTGCATGCTATGTGTTTAAGCAGTTTTCAAATAACTCTAGCATCTATATCATATGAAAGTTTTATGATCAGTTTTAGCGGGTGAGCATTTGACCAGCAAGTCACGACCAGTATAAAACACTACCCGGACAAGTGGGTGATCAATTAAGATTGAAGTATCAACCCAGGGCGTGTTTGTGACTAAATGACTCACACCCGACAGACAAGTTATGAGATCTCTKTTATTTCAGTGCTGCATGTTTTTCAGAAAATGCATACTTTTGGTACAAAGTTTACAAGTTGATATGTATGATGTGAAATGATCTTTACTCACGCAAACCATGAACTCATTGAGCTTTATAAGCTGACTATAGTATGCATCTCAAGGCCAGGTAGTTCGAGATTGGATAAGAGCAAAGGACACGCTTAGAGAGTCGCTATTATCATCTTATGTTTAGTCTTTTGACGTTGTGTTGATCCTTGTAACTTAACCCGGTATGAGGTCGGTTAGAACTTAAGTAAATTTTTGAACGGTTCAAGGACCTCCGCTGTAGACAGTTCAAACGGTTTTATGTTAGCCGTCTTTTGGAGTATGTATTTAAGAATTGTTTCAGATTACGTGACAATCTCACAAAAAAAATGAGGGTGTTACATTTCAAAAATTAGATATTATTCAACAAACTGTAATAGAAAATTTTAAACCAGTTAGTATTTACGGATATATTTACTCCCCCACAAAATATGAATCAGTTAAAATACAGATAAAGTTCCATACTCCCCCTCAAATATAGATTTCCACAATCAAAATATTTAAAATCACATTAAAAATTGAAATACTGATTTGTATTAAAAAAATACAAATATTTTGAAAAATTGAATTTGAATTAAACACAGTTCAATGAATTGAACTGTTTTTAAGAAAAATTCGAATTTTCAAATTTAGCATGCSTAACTTAGATACGAGAAAGCTGAAGCGTTTTTCATCTAAAGCTTTCGTAAATAAGTCGGCTAGCTGAAATTTTGTATGTTAGACCCCATCATTCTTATGTGTAGAAGTAATGAAGACAAACAATTGATGAAGAACCAGAAGGCCGATGGAAGACTTCAAGACAAAATGGCTAAGTCCTCAATACAACCAGAGGGTCGATGAATCGACCAGAGATGCGATGGAAAGAGCATCTTCATAGTTCATCTGGTTACCAACACTTGGAGTTTCCTACACTAGTTCAACCAGAGGCATGCGATGAAGATATGAATATAAGGTTGAATAACGACCCATGGAAAACAGCTGGAGATGACTAATCGACAGCTGGATTCTACAAAGTTTATCTTGTTTTGTT